TACTACTATATATATATATATATATATATATATCAACACATTCTTTTACAGGACAATAAAAACAGACAAAACCCTAGGACCACTAAATCGCTCCACAAAAAATTTCGAAACAGCAATAACGCTATGACCAAAATGGAATTTTCAAAAAATTGAAACCCTGAAACATGCCATTTCTTTAACCGGAAACAAACTTACACAGTATAGAAATTACCAAAGCCGGTAAACACGCATTTTAATCATAAATGGAAATTCTGAAACCACCAACATGAATCAATCCAATTTAAGCTGTAAGTGGAAACTTCAAGAAGATAGAACCCTGAGAACAATGAATAACGCCAACTCAGCCAGAAATGGATATTCAAAGCAAGAGAAAACTCCATGTAACTTTCAATTCCATTCAATATTTCAGTAGAGCGGAATCCAAGAACTATGAGTCAAATTCATTCTTTAACTGAAATAAAATTTCAATACGGGGAGAAATAGAGAAACAGAATTCAAAATTTCAATAACTATGAGTTACAACAATTTGTTAACAAGAAAGAAAAAAGTCAGTAAACAAATAGAGAAACCCAGAGACTTATCAAAGTAAAACAAAAAGAGAAATAAAAGATAACCAGATTTCGACATTTGAGGTGATAAAATCCCATACTATGAGATAAACCAACACTTTAAACTTACCAAATTAACAGAGAGAGGGAGAAAGAGAACCTGAAATGGAAATTTCAATAGAGAAATCTCTAGAACTATGAGTTACACCAACTGTTGAACCATCAAACAGAAGTCCAAAAACAGATAGAAAGATAGCACTAATTGGAAATTTCAGAGACCAGAACACAAATTCTTCAATAAACAGAGAGATAAAGACATATAGATAGAGAGAAAGAAAAACATTTCAATAAAGAAGAGGGAGAGAGAGCTTACTTCAATGAAACCTCATCATTAGGCGGAGCAGGTGAAAAACCAGGAGGTATCGATGACATTTCGATAACCGCACTATCATGGGAAACAACGGGCCTGTACTGGCGCCTAGTCTGGGAAGCCGAGCCCTCATCCGAGCTCTCAATTTCCCCATTCTCCATTGTCTTTCTCTCTCTGTATTTCTCCCTCTCTCGTTCTAGATCAAGTGAGAGAAAATGCAGAGGGAGAGAAAAGGATTCACGATCAGATCTGGAAGGGGCACAACAACAGATCGCATCACCACTGTGGTTCGAGGAGAGAATAAGAAGGTGGAGAAAGAGAGAGAAACAAAAGGTTGTGGTGCGTGTGAATCCTGAGAATATGCAGGGGTTTCGGAGAAACGTAGGTTTTCAAGTGGAGGCGGCAATTCAATTTACGGCACGGGGGTTGCTTTCTCCGAAACTGCAACACTCAGATCCATAAAATAAAATAAAATAAGAGAGAGAAAGTGAGAGAGCAACGTTAAAAAAATAAAGAGAAGGAAAGAGTGCGCGCGTATAGATAGGGAGAGCGAAAATTATAAACGAGGTACGACCACGGTTTTGTAAACTTTATTACGGAAATGTCCTAGCGGGAGAATAGTTTCATAGGGCTGCAGCCCTATCAAAATAAAGCCTCGTCTCATAACTCATCCAAAAATTAGCAATTCAAGTATAAGAAAACTTTTCAGATCATCCTTACTTAAACATTATAGTCGTCTAAATAAATTAGGATATCAAGTTTTAAAAATAGTGTATATTATAATAAATTATCTAGACCGCTCATTTTACTCTAAAATTAAGCGTTCATAGATCCACAATATTTGCACCATTTTTTTACTTTCAAATTTTATTGTCGGTGTTGGAAATTGAGTTTAGAGCCATCATAGAGGTTTCTGTTGTTGAATAGGCTTTCGGGATGTGTCAAAATAATCGATGCTTTCTTTTTGTTTAAAACTTTTGCTACTAATCTTGCTTTATATTTATCAATAGAACCATTATAATTCATTGTTCTTTTAAAAAACTATTTACAATCAATGGGTTTAGAACTTGGTGGAAGATCTACTAATTTCAAGTTTTATTAGCGATAATAGAATCAATTTCATTATTAACAGCTTTTTTCAAAAAATTTGGCATCTTAAGATGCCAAAGCTTCATTTAGAGATGAAGGGTTTCCTCTACATTTGAGACTATAGGCAATGAATTCAAATTTTTATTTTGATTAGCCTTAATAAGATAAATATAAAAATTTAATCCAAAGTTGCAAGATGGATTGCCTCTGATTCTTTTACTTCTTCTTGCTTCTATTATTTCATCATCATTTATTTTCTATGTGTTCTTCATCAACAATATGATCACTTTCGTTTTGCATGTTAATAGATTTATTCACTTCACTTTTACATGCGAGATTTTCAAAAAATTCAGCATCTCTATAGTTTAAAATTGTGTTAGAAATTAGATCCAAATATTTATAAGCTTTACTATTATGAAAAGGACCCACTTTCTATGCATCCAAGCCTACATATGTAGAAATGCGGGTCTCTTAGTAACTCTATTTTTTAGATGGATTCTAAGACTTAATTTTTAAGGACATGTAATCTCTAACATGGAGATCAAGAATATGAAAAATAAATAAATTTTAAAGAACTAAAAATAATAATTCTAGTAAGAAAATATTTGAACAATTAGTTTCTATTGTTTCTAGATGGAACACGTACTTGCAATCCATCTTTAAGATGGATGCTTTACACTTTTTGGACCGCATATGTTAAAATGCGGTCTAGCCCGCATGAAACAATTTCCTTATGAGAATGTCTCACAAGAACACATTTAGATGTTCTAGGACCCAATTTATTGCTTTTATGATTTGGAAATCTAACATATGCAAGACAACCCTATAATTTGAAAAAATTCAAAGAAGGTTTTTTATCAAACCAAACTCATAAGGGGTCTTATCACACTTTTATATGAAATTGTATTAAAAAAAGCATGCAGATAATAAAGCTTCACCCTACAAATTGAATGGTAAAGAAGAAAAATTAAGCATTGCATTCACCATATCTACTAATGTTCTATTTTTCCTTTCCACTGGTCCATTTTGTTGAGGGGTATACAGAGTAATCACTTGATGAATAATGTCATTATTTTCACAAAATTCATTAAAGTCATTTGATAAATATTCTCCTCCTCTATCACTTTTAACAATTTTGATTTTCTTACAAAGTTGATTTTCAACTTCTGCTTCGAAATCTTTAAATTTTTCAAAATCCTCATCTTTATATCTAAAGCTTTTACCACTTCTAGTAAGAACATTATTTAAAACACATACATCATTATGTATAAGTTCTAGCAATTAACTATTTATTTCAATTGAAGGCAATGATTTTTTTAGTAATTTTAGCTTGTACACATACTTCACATTATTTTAATTAATTCATCATAATAAGAAATTAATCCTAATTTAACCAAATGCATAATTAACATTTCCTAACCTACCATGTCATACATTACAAGGAGTAACAATGTACGCAGAAGACATATTCATTTAATTAACAAGGTCAAATTTGAACATTTCATCACATGAGTATCTTTGTTTTTTTATATAATATTCCATAATTTTATTAATCAAAAGAGATTACAATGCAATCAAGTAATCAAAACATCTGAAACAACCAAATCTTGCATTGAAACTCCTCTCTTGGCTAAAGTATCATCGATTTCATTTCCATCTCTATAAACATGTTGGAAGCTCACAGTCACAGTCATATCCTAGTCGGTGTTCGCAAAACCAGCTGGTTAGAACCGGAACCGGCCGGTCAGATCTCTACCGATGGGATGACGAGTCCAGTTAGGGCCGGTTTTATGACACACCATATATGACAGAACTATCCCAAAAAAATCAGGGCCAAAACCGGCCGTTTCGAGGTCGAACCGGTGGTATTTAGGTCAAACTGGCCGGTTTTTTTAACCGGTCCGATTTACCGTTTTAACACTAATATAACGTCTTTTCAACACATCAAATAACGACCGTTATTTGACACAAGCCCGTTATTTTTCACTTAACAATATTTTGCAGCTTAATTTTTATTCCATTTTCCAGTTTTTTTTGTTTTTCAGTCAAATATTGATGTTATACACCTAAAATTTTCTATAAATCATAGATTATTGAATAAAAAATCGAAAAACAAAGAGTTCTTGGCGGATTGAAATGGGGATTTTTGAAAATTAGAAATTTCCTCCATTTCAATTTGGGGATTGTTGAATGATTCAATGTTTACAAATTTAAAATTTTCCAAACAAATGAAGATTTGGGGTTTTTTTGGGCCCCAAGTACTGCGGCTCGAAGAACTGTTTTTATCCAAACAAATTGATTTTTGATCGATAAATTGAACGGTTTTATCAAATTGATCACTGAAGTTTGATCATAAAGGCATCATCTATCAAATAAAATAGTTACTTTGATTTACTATTGATTAAATGCTTTTTATAACAATTTTTTGTTGCCGCACTTTTTTCCTGAAATTTTCTTAAAGTGAAAAATCCGTAATTTTTTTAATAAAGATCTCACTAGTCAACTAATCTTCATGAAATTTGGGGCATTTGAATTTTAATTGAAGTATCTATCATATCCCCATGTCAATTTGTTCAAAAAATGAAAGATTTGGGGTTGATTTTGACTCTAAAATTTATGTGTTCTTTGGCTCGATTTTAGGGTTCTTAAAAAGAAATTGTTTTTTTAGTAAATTACGTTTTGTTTTTTAAAAATATGTTATTTGTGATGAATATGATAAAAAAAGATTTTTTTAAAAATTTTATATATTTTTGGAAACTTGTTGGATTATTTTTTATGTTATATATATTTTTTTTTACAAAAACATGTTTTTTTGTGATGAATATGAGAAAAGCAAATATTTATTTCTTTTTAATGTTATATATTTGTGGTGAGCTTGTTGGATTGTCTTTTATGTGATATATTTTTTTTATAAAAATATTGTTTTTGTGTTGAATATGAGAAGAAAAGAATTATTTGTTT